ACATCCGAGCCCGTGATCTATCACTCTCTACCTCCACACGTCCCCATCAACTATACGACTCGTCTACATTTGAGCCATATGTCCCTCAATATACCATCTCAAAGTCATTTTGGTCCTCTTCTGCTAGGACTGGTCAGATCGCCTTCGCTCTTTTTCCTCTTTGCGTCCTTTTCGCTCTCAAGGCACCCCCATTTGCCATATTTGCCATTCCCTTCATGATACAGTTATACTTTGACAAACTCGCCTGGTTACACAGGTGGTCTGGTCGGCTCATATGGTTTCTTACCTCTATCCATGTCGTCCTCTGGAGCATCCAGCTCACTCGAGATCTCAATCCATCCACTGGTCGCGTAGCTTATGTTTATGCCTGGACATACACCCCTTTCATATATGGCTGGATCGTAGGCAGACCCTTCCTCTTTTCGTTCAGAGTGCTCATTCCTTTCCAGGCTTTCGTGTTGCTGACGCTACTCATCCTCCTCTCCATGCATCCAATCCGAAGGAAGTTTTATGAAGCGTTTTACTTCATGCATGTGCTCCTCGTACCCCTGATGCTCATTACCGCAGCCCTGCACCACCCCACTGTCTGGTGGTGGTGTTGGGCCGCGCTTGCCGTGTGGGCGGGTGAACGTCTATGGCGAGGGACGTGGTGGATATACACCAATGGCTTCATCGGTGGAATGTCTCCAAAAACATTACCTCCCCCATCTCATTCCAAGACTGCATCGAGGGACACCTGGGAGATGGACCATTTCAGCATCGAGACAGCATCGCTGCATTTTCCGCTGGACAGCTCTTCCATTCGCTCTCCAAGCCCTCTTAGCCCTTACTACCTCAATGACAAGAGTCCCATCTCTTCGGGTAGGCTCACGTCTGCATCTGCTAGTCGACCGTCACCTGCTTTCATTTTCCCATCCGAACGAGATCTTTCCGGGTCAACAAGATCTCGCGTGCTCCCTCCTTATCTCCCCCCTCCTGGTTACGCACATGCAGAACTGTTGTCGGGACGGACGATACGTCTGCGCCTCATCACTCCGGGTTTCCTCCCATGGGCACCAGGGCAACACTTCCTCGTCAACATTCCCTCTGTATCTCGATTAACATCGCATCCGTTCACGTGTACCTCCGTTTGCGACGATGAGTCCCCCACGGACGAAGGTCGTATGATGATGTTTCTCGTACGCGCGAAAAACGGGTGGACGCAAGATCTCTGGGACCTTGTCACTCAAATGACAGCTGAACGTTTTCCCGGGGACGTACCCGCAACCTTTGGACCAGCCAGCTTACCAAAACGCGGCGTCCTTTTGCGAGCATATGTTGATGGGCCTTTTGGCAGCTCGAAGCGCGCGAGATGGGGGAATTATTCGACGGGTGTGATCATTGCTGGTGGGTCGGGTGTGAGCTTTGGGTTGTCGTTGTTGCAGTATATGTGTTTGTGTTTGGCAGGGAGGGATGGGAGACATCTCGGAGGGCGTCCTGGAGGGTGGGGGAGGAAAGGGGTCGATATGAAACGTGTGCGGTTTATTTGGCTCATTCGCGAGTATTGTAAGTGTTCTTTTGTTTTGGGATGAGGGGTGGGACCGTGCTGATATTTGTTTCGGTCAGCTCACGTTCAGTGGTGCGCATCCATCATCCGTCGTTGCATCTCCATGGTCCCTTCGTCCGCTCTCCAAGTAGACATCTACGTTACAAATTTCAAACCAATCCTCATGAGACCTCCTGCCCTTCCGCCTCTCTCGATACCCACACAGACACGTTTCGACCCAGACCCCACCATCACAGGCGAAGAACTCCAACCACCTCATCCACGTTTTACACGGGACAACGTCGCGCGCTTCCGTTCCGACTCAACAGGCTCTGTGGAGAGCAACGAGAGCCATGCTAGCGACGTCGATCTCAGTTATTATATGGGTGAATACCCTGTCGACCCCCCTGTCGATGACATGAACGTCGCGCATCAGACGAATATCCTCGACCTCACCAATTTTGATGGGGATGATGATACGGCCTTACCCGGTGAAGCTAATCTTACCCGGAAAGTGAAGAAGGAGGGGAAGATTCGCCGGTCTCAGTCCCGTAAATTTGGGAAAGTAGCAGAGATGATGGGGAATGATGATGCTCGAGCAGTACATATCCTTACCCACAGTCTGGGTCAAACGCATGCCCATGCCCAAGCTATGGCCCATGTTCATCCCCCACCTCTCGCCTCATTTCATCCGCGTAGGACACTCAGACTCTCTGCACTATCTGCACAGTCGACCGACAGGCTGCTTCCCATCTCACCGCTTTCTGAACGACCCACGTCAGCCACATCAGAGATGGACGGGTACTCGCCTCTTTCGTTGTTCTCGCCTTACGCGGACTCGCCTACCCGTCCAAAACTTCCCCCGGGATCGGAGCCGCCGGTCATTGACCTCACACCGACCGTATCGCTTGTCACTCCACCCATAGCATGCAGTGAGCCAGGCTCACCAACACGTTCCTCCCAGAGCTACTCGGACGGTAAATCGGAAGCTCTTAGTTCGCGTACGGTGATGACCTGGCAAATACCGATGACGAAAACGATGAACGTGCACAACGCATCTCTAGCCTCAGCCTCATCCAACCCCCAAATCCGGTTCGAGATCGACGAACAAGAAGCGAGAGATATCAACGTCATTTCTGAGCACGCGAGACCTGGGAAGCCGAAGTTGGACAAGGTGATTGCGGATGAGGTGGAGGGATCTAAGGGGGCTGTCGTCGTTGCCTGTGAGTTTCTGTTTCCTCCGGGTTTGGGTTTTTGGGAGGCTGTTGTGGTGACCGAAGCTGACTTGGCTCTTTTTCGTGAACTGATAGGTTGTGGGCCCACGTCGCTTAATGCGATGGTGCGCAAGATCATAGCTGCGCAGATAGATCCTGCGCGGATATGGCGAGGAGATATGCGTGGTTGTATTGCACTCGTATCCGAGGAGTTCGAGTACTGATCTCAGCGCTGACGTCCATCTCACCGAACGCTGAACACTGAACATCTTGAGTATAGTAGAGCATAGGGACTTGCTGCACGGGAGACATTTTTCTTTCTTTTACTTTCCAGCACTCGTTTGTGTCGACACTGCCATTCATCACTTTGCTTTGGAACGGACTACATATTATAGAGATTGCATGCACTGACTTGCCAGTGCGCATTTTGCATATACAGTATACTGCACTTGTAGGGTAACATTTGTTTTTGTATTTTAGTCACTCGGTAGCGCTGCACTATACAATTCGCAACTTGAATGATGCAGTATCATTTTGTGCTGTTCTTCGAGCACGCACCCGGCGTCTCATCAACATATGTCTGGACTATCATCGAGGAACTCGTCCACAGCTATCACGGACTCGGTTGATCTTCGAACTCCGTAAGGCAGGTCGTATTGCCCGCCCACTGACGTCAGGTTCACTATACGAAATGGTCCTACCTTCGCTTTCTGACCAACACCTGCGGTCCTTGATTGTCCTGTCGCTCCTAAGCCGGCTCCTCGTCGCGACGCTGATCACATTGGCAACGTCCCTGCTGACGTTGTTCGACAGTTCTCCACGGCTCATCCTGAGTGACGCGGTGCCACCATGGACTTCCTCGTTGCTCCGATGGGACGCGTTTCATTTTGCACATGTCGCGAAAGAGGGACACCTCTATGAGCACGAATGGGCCTTCTTTCCAGCACTTCCATTCGTCATGCACGCGTCTGGTTCCTTACTGTCATCCATCGGGTTCGAGTCAAGTTCACAAGATTGGGCTGCGATGCTTCTGGGAGGGGCAATTCTCGCAGCTGTTTGCGACTCTACCCGTGTTTTCTATCGTCTCTCACTCCACCACCTTCGTTCGCCATCTGCTGCATTCCTTGCTACCGCGCTGTCTCTGCTACCAAGCAGTCCGGCGACCTTACGCTTTGCTTCATACAATGAGCCATTTTTCACCTACTTCTCGTACCAGGGAATGTTGGCGTGCGCACGTTCACAGTGGCTCTCCGCTTCTGTTTGGTTTGCCCTCGCTAGCACTTTCCGCTCCAACGGGATTCTTCTTTGTGGGTTTATCGTGTGGGGTATGGTTGTGGTGCCATGTCTAGCTGCTCGGAGGGACCTTGTGAGTATGTTTTACCTCTATTTCAGCACAGTCAGAATCAATTTCGTCCCAGCTCACCCCATCACGGTTACTATACTGCACCGTGCTAGTGGCGATCCCACTCATGCCATTCATCCACCACAACTACAAGGGGTACACCTTGTTCTGCGCAGCATCTACAGAGGGCCTCCCTGACTGGTGCAAGAAGGGGTTATTTCCCTCGATATACTCGCATGTCCAGCTCAAGTACTGGAACGTTGGCTTCCTCCGCTACTGGACGGTGTCTAACATACCGAACTTCATACTCGCGTCGCCCGTCCTCTTGAACGTCTACGCATTCTGCGTGTTCTACCTATCAAGACTACCTCACATCCTCCCCTTGCTCTCACCGCAAATGCCGCCCAAAGAAAAAGACGCCTCACGTCCAAACCCCTCGTTGTTCCTGGCGCCGTCTCTCCTCCCACACGTCCTCCACGGGCTCGCACTAGCCCTCCTTCTCACATTCAGCGCGCACGTCCAGATTGCGCTCCGTGTCTTCCCGTCGCTGCCGATGACCTACTGGGCCGCGGCACATCTCCTGATCGAACGCCCGAAGCTGGGTAAGGCGTGGGTGGCGTGGAGCGTCGTGTGGGGTGCTTTGAGCTGTGTGTTGTGGGCTGTCTTTCTTCCCCCGGCCTGACATATGGTCGGGAGTAGAGGGGTTGTTTGAGGACTGGTAAATTGGTGGTGTGTGTTGGGGGGGATGGTCAGCGTGAGTCGTCACCGATGGGGTGCGCTGATGCTACGAGGAGCGTAGGCTGAGCGTCCACTGGGCAATATGTGTATTTACCATCCAATTTCCGTCTAGTCCGCCTCGGTTGAAGGTGCTCTAGCTCACGCGCTCCTTCACAGCACCCCTCCTATGCGTGGGCATCAAGGTGAGATGGCCGAGCGGTCTAAGGCGCCAGACTAAGGACCAGGTCATTTGATGACCTAGCAATCTGGTCCGAAAGGGCGTGGGTTCGAATCCCACTCTCATCATGCTTTTTGTTTCGTGAACATACCATCTTTTTTTTTCCATCTTTTTTTTTCCATTTTTTTTTTTCCTCTGAGACCTGTCGTGTTTGACAAAGCTGTGTGGCTGGTATGACATCATAGGCCTCTAATCATAATTAAGGCTCTCCAGCTATATAAAGCGCATTGGGCAGCGAGCGCTCGTTACCGCAAGGGCGAAGCTGCCCGTTTCGAGATGCCGCATCCAAGGGATCACGTTTGAAAGCACAGAATATCCCTTTGAAGGTTCCCCCTCAAGTCTAGAAGCCAAACCATCATAGTCCTTTGTGTCAGTGCCCTTTCGTCCGTGGGTCAAGTCAATGGCGCACTTACAGATTCCGTGGAATCTACCCTAGGTGTTTGTATACCATGGGTTTTGGGAGTTAGGTCAGCAGTCGCTCGAGGGTGCAGAGGCCTAAATACCTGCCAAATCTAGTGACCTTGATGCTAGTACCGTATGACAGGGCATCTTCCTTTCATGCTGATAGCATCAGGGGGCGCTACGACGGAGTCCTCAAGTTGTCCAGAGAATCCCATCCCGGCGGTCTGATGCATCTGAGGTCTGAGGTACTATACACGCAAACCAATCATAGTCCTATGTGTACATGGATACATGGGCGCGTCAATATGTATTGTAGCGAGCTTGTGGATATCCATTCACATGTAAGTCGGCTGTGTGTATCGATTCAAACATTGGAACTACTCAACTACTCATCCAGCCATGCACATCAACGAGATGGAAACAGTGAAACAAATACACAGGTAAAGGATACCCTACCATTGGCCTACGACATAGCAAAGCTGAATGCATCTGGGTTGGCTCCGTGCCCTAGTAGACTCTGAACAATCTCGAGGTTGTTTTTTGTCACTGCCCATGAAAGAGGTGTCCGTCCCTTTTGATCCGAAACATTTGGGTCAGCCCCGGCTTGCAGGAGAAGTGCCACAATAGATTGGTAATCCCCCCTCGCAGCCCATGCTAAGGGTGTTCGGCCTTCAAGGTCAGGAATTCCCGAGTCAGCACCATGGCCAAGAAGTAAAGCAACCGTCCGTTCACGGCCATTCTGTGCTGCCAGACACAACGGAGTGCGTCCACTACTATCAATAACATCACTTTGTGCTCCGTATTCCAACAGGACCTCAATCATGGCCTCCTGGTTGTGTCTCATTGCCAAATGCAGTGGAGAGCTTTCTGATGTGCCAATGTTAAGGTCAGCACCATGTTCCAGTAATGCCTTCATCACTGAGAAGTGGCCCGAATCCGTAGCCAAGAGCAAAACAGATCGACCATTATTATCTGCAACATTGACAGCTGCACCTCGTTCAAGAAGTAGGTCCACAATATGACGATGACCGCCAGCAGCAGCTAGCAACAGAGCGGATTGCCCATCATCGTCAATGGCACCGACAGTTGCACCGCTATCAAGAAGGCAGCGGACAACAGCAGAGTGACCATGAATTGCTGCCGCATGTAGTGGGTTGAATGATTGGTGGAAGGATGAGTTCACCTCAGCCCCATGAACATGCAAGAGCTCTACGATGGCCAGATGACCACAATTTGCTGCGAGATATAGTGGGGTGCGGCCAGAGTCGTCAGGAAGATTAATATCGGACACATTTGCACAAGCCAAAGTCGCCATCGCAAGGTTGCCATGAAATGCTGCCCAGTGAAGCGGCGTAAAAGTGCCACTGGCTTCCTTGGGTATGGATTCCACCAGTCGCTGAACTGACTGGTTTGTGACATTGGGGTTTCTTGCCTGCTGCAAGAGCTCAACAACTTCTTGCATTTTTGGACGGAGGGTGGGCGGGTACTTCCAGCACTGCTTGCATATCGCCAGTACGACGTGAGTAAACTTGAGATGGACAATAGGCCCGAGAGGAACCTTGGGCAGGGATCCCAATGTGATCGCAAGGAGTGCTGCAACTTCCTTGAGGTCATAATAGGGATTGTGCCCAGTGCCTAGTTCCTGTAGCACATAATGAAAGAGTAAGCTTCCTTACAGAAGATCAAAATTGTAGGCACACCAGTGCTGTCATACCGAATGCCCACACATCACTTTTTTCATCAGGCTTTGCATGCTCAACTCTATAGTCAGCAAGTTCCCTGGCCATCCACCGCCAAGTTCCCTTTACTGCGGTAGCACTTGCCAATAACCCAGAGGACAAAAGGATCTTGGATAACCCAAAATCGCTGAGGCAAGGCACTCCATTTGATGTAACCAAAACATTGTCCTGTGGCCATCCTCATGTCAAAATAATAATCAATGAGACTTGACAGAATGCGCACTCCTTTCAAATCACCATGGATCACATTTTCCTGATGCAAGTACCGAAGGCCAGCGGCGATACCAGACAACTACACCATAGTTATAATGTTCAGCTGTGGACTGCAAAAGTGTCATAATACATCTATCTTCTTACCAGCGCAAGGTAGTTTGCTTCTGGGTGCTCCTTCAAGTAATGATTGGCGGTCCCATAATCCATCCAAATGGATACCAAGGCCGGGGCAAATCCGAAATCATAGCAGACACCAGCAAGAGGGAGTACATTATCGTGTTTGAGCCTGGACCATGCCTTTATCTCCTGATTGACTAGCTGGAGCCAGATTTCAAGTGTGAATATTATTATGATCAAGGTTATGTGTTGACCAAACCGACCTTGATCGCTTCGTCACCATCTGATTCAACATATGTTCTAACGACCTTGATAGCCACCCATCGGTTACCCCAAACCCCCTTCCAGACATCTCCATATCCGCCTCCTCCCACTGGATGTTCACCGATTTTTGACACCTTTCCACTAAGATCTGCTAACGAGCTGACGCTAAGTGCTGCCATATGGCAAAAAATGAACGGAGTACAACCACTAAGTAGGCAGCGCAAGTTTGCCAGCTTAGACTGAGAAACTGATGTTGAAACGGACACGTGGTAGTCTGTGCGACCAGTGGACAAGTGCTTCAAATGTACCCAATGGTTGTCTTCCTTCTCGAATCTCGATGGTTTGGTCGGGGTAATGGTCACATTGATGGAGCTGCCAGATTGCTTGGAATCATACACCACGAGACTGTAAGCATATCTTACTGCTGACACGATCTTGTTTGCCTCGCTCTCGAAAACATATATAATACTGACTACACATTCCGTCTTCGTCTGACTTCTCTTAGTTTTCCCCCACCTCGTGGACGGTTTCCAGAAACCTAAAGTTCACTGCAGCGATTTTTGGAGATGCTCCTTGAATTCTCATACTGTTCAAGTATCGCGCCCAATTCATGGTGTTGATTCGCCATTGCTATTTGTCGTGCTGTTTGACTGGCGCTGTTAAGTATCGTTGGATCTGGATTGTACTGCAGGAACAACTGGACCATGGCAATATTCCCACTTGCAGCTGCAAGGTGGAAAGCAGAACCTGGAGGCTGGATCGTGAATGTCCTCATCGTAATGCTCGTTGCGCAAGAAACGAACGTCCCTCCATATCCGCCACGCACTGGGGGTTTCACTTTCACGTCCGCAAGCTTATCAGGATGTACCCCGTATTGAAGAAGTAAGTTCACGGCATCCAAATTTTCGACCATAGTTGCAATATGCAACGCAGGTATCGGATGCCGGCGAGATGCGTTTGGATTGGCTCCGGAATCTAAAAGCAACTTCATCATACCCAGTCGGCCATATGCAACAGCCCAATCCAACGGAGTATATGGGTGTTTTCGCTCCATTGCATTTGGATCAGCGCCATGTTCGAGGAGATAGGTCATGATTTCCTCTGGGCCATCGCTTGCTAGTTCCCAGAGTGGGAGCAATGCAGGAGGGGAAACTTTGGCACCATGCTCAACAAGGAGTTGCACAACCCGCAGATGACCTAAAGATGCCCAATATAAGGCTGTGAATGCCCTCTCCTCCATGTTCGGCCCGGTGGTAAGGAGATATCTTACTGCCTTTTCGTCGCCGATGGCAGCCGCGTGCTCCAATGCGAAAGAGGCATTGGCGCCCGCACTGACGAGTAACGACATTGCAGTGTAGTCGTTTTTGCAAAGTGCGATTGTCATCAGGTCTTTGAAGGAGGCTGAAATTGTCGGCGATACATCTTTGGTAGGGACGAGTAATTCTTCCGGGTTTTTGCCACCAGCTTTAGATCCATCTTCGAGGAGAGATCTCAAGAGGGCGTGGTTTTGGGTGGCGACAGCAATCGTGATGGCAAAAACAAGCCCAAGGAAGTCAAATGCAGACTTGTCGACGTGGTTGACCTGATGTTCGAGAAGAACTTGCAGGACGGAAAGCTGCTTTTCTCCAGGTGCTCTAATCTCCAGGGACTTCGTTGTGTCGACTCCGCATCTACCTGTTAGATGACTGCATCCGATCGAATAGGAAAATCCATCTCCAGCTAGTGCGACCATCATTGGAGAGTACTCCCAAGCATCAGTCAATGTGATGTTTACTCCATATTGGAGTAACGTCCTCGCGAGGTCCTTGTTGCCAAACTGGGCAGCATAATGTAGTGGTGTGACTTTCTGTTTGTCGATTGCATCCACCATGGCCCCTCGGTCAAGAAGCAGCATGGCGATGGAGTTGTGATTGGAGCATACTGCCCAATGGAGTGGGGAGCGTCCTTCATCGTCTTGGCAATTCGGCTCGGCAGCATGCTTCAGGAGCAGTTCGACAATGTTGTGGTGTCCTGCACCCGACGCCCAGTGCAGCGGCGTGGATCCGCCTGCAGCACGAGCATTGACATCCGCCCCCCGACAAATGAGGGATTCGACCGCATCGTGGTTCCACTCGAACACTGCCCAGTGCAGCGCAGCATACCCTTCGACGTTGGAATTGGCAGGTACAATGGGGTGCACAGGAGTAGGTGCGTGCAGACGGTGGTCTGCGGAGCTTGGCGACTGTGTAGTAGAACCTTCTAGAGGCGTTGCCCGGTGAGCGCAGAGCTTCGAGTCGTCCTGTGCTGATTAGGAGTCTCAAACTTATGTTCCAATGTGCAAGATTCCGAGACTA